ATATTTTGATGCTCTTTGTTTTCCTTTAATTGCACTTTTGCAATTTTTATTGAACCATGGATTTAGTATTTTATCTTTCTTATCTTGCGTAGTCGGCGTTATCTGTTTTATGATTGTTGTTATTATGTCTATCCATTTGTCCATTGAGTTTTCATCAATTTCTTCAATATCCTTCATCATTTCATTTGTCATTACTTTAAATTTATTCCAATCTATTTTATTGTAGTTCAATCTGTAACATTCATAATTTGTTGCTTTAATTTTCATTGTTAAAATTATTGGGAAATGATCACTGCCGTGAAGATCCTCTTCAGCTTCCCATTCAATATCTTCAAACATTGTTGGGGATGTCATAACTAGGTCAATTATGGATGATGTATTTGTGTGCTCATGGAACATTGTTGGAGCTGTTGGTTTGATGAGGCAAATGTTATTTTCTATAATGGTTTTTTCTAATTCTTTGCCTTGGGTATTTGAGTTTTGGGATCCCCATAACTGGTTGTGAGCATTAAAATCGCCGACGAGGAGAAACGGTTTAGGGATTTGTTGAATTAACTGTTTTAATTCTTCCGATTTCATTATATTATTAGGTTTGATATATCCATTGCATATGGTAAATGATTTGTTGCATGTGACTCTTGAAGCTATGAAGTGATGATCAGTTTTTAGTTGATGAGAAGATTGTGTGATCTTATGATGTATATATATTGCTGTTCCAGCTGATGGATTTGTCTTAGTTGGAGTGGCTGCTTTATAGTATGATGAATAATTTTTTAAGATTATTTGTTTGTCATCAGTTGTTTTTGTTTCTTGGAGACAGATGATGTGAGGTTTGTATTTTGCTATTAATATTTGTAATTCAGGTAAATTGTTTCTCATTCCTCTTATGTTCCATTGTAATATTATTATATTATTATTGTCATTTCTGTTTGGGAAGTCTTCATATGGATATATACTATTTTTATTTATGCTGCTCTGGTTGAATTTTGTTTTATTTTCTATTTTGTTTGTTGTGTTTTTTGTATCACGATCCGTGTTTACTTCTGCTGGGCTTTTTAATTGTTGTTGATTTGTAATTAGTACATCTTTCATCATCACTATCATCATTGAAGCAGTCATCATGCATGTCTTCATCAGAAAGAAACATATATGGGTCATTACTTTCATTCATATTTTCTTTTGGATTTGAGGGTTTGTTATTTGTTTGTTTTATTTTTTGACTTGATTCTGATTTTTTGGTTTGTGTTTGATTTTGAGCATCTATATTTGTTTTTTTTTAAATGACTCTATGCAAGGATTTATTGGTGTTTTTATTAGTTCACATTGAACAGCTTTGTCTGACATTGAAATGTTCTTTTTTGCTATTTGAGAATATAACGGTTTATTTTCTTGGCAGATTTGATTTTTGGCTTGACTGTAGGATATGTTATTGTCAATTTTTTTCTTTATTATTTCTTTTTCTATTTTAAATTTTTGGCATTCTTTTGAAAATGTTTCATGGATTTCATTGCAGTGATAACACTTTGGTGTGTTTTGACAAGGAGATTACCACGTGTGCTTGTGCCCTGGGTTTCCACACTTTGCACATATGATTTCCTTGCTTTTGCATACTTTGTGATGATGTCCATATTTCTGGCATCGTGTGCATCGCATAGGAGGTGGAATGTATCTATCTATTTTTAAAGTTTGGTAACACACTTTTATTTCTGTTGGAGGCTGTGGGTTTTGAAAAGTTAATATGTAAGTGTTGGTGCTTAACTTCTGATTATTTTTTGAAATTTTAATGTTATATATATCACAAACTCCTTGTTTTTCCAATTCTTCTTTTATTTCTTCCTCTGTGCAATATTTAAATAGTGTTGTTTTGATAACTCCTTTACTTGTATTGAGTGATTTATGAGGATAGCATTTTACTTTTGTATCTATCATATAGTCGATTTTTAAAGCTTTTTCTATTTGGGTTTTTTCTTTTATCTTGAAGATAATTCTGTTTGGTTGTATTTTCATGAATTGCAGTTCTCCAATGTTCATTTGAAAAAATTTTTGTATTTTAAATACCGATATTTTTCCAAAATCATGACTGACGCCAGAATTTTGCGGTTCAATAACATAATACATCGTTCCTTCAAGTGCTGGTGTCTGTGTTACTATTGATGACAACACCCTCGTCTTCTTCTTTTGTGGCGCCAGTTTCACCGACTGGCCCACCCGGTAGAGTAAGCAATATGAATTACCGCAACTACAAGAATTTACTTTTTTATTAATTTACACTATTCAAATTAACTTTTTGTAAACAATTCTCAAAAAATTTGAAATTGTAATTCCGAAAAACGATTTTTAAGCAGAATTTGAAGCTACGAGATAATACTCCCTATATCGCTCACCCCAGCGAATTCAATTTGCGTATTTGAATTATTAGTTTAATAATATAGTTTTTGGCGGTAAATACATTTAGAAATTTTTTTGAAAATTGTTTTTTTCCTATAGTTTTTAAAACTTGTTTTTTCCAAAATATTCAGTTAAATTTAAACAATAAAACATTATGCTGACTGTCGTATTTGGAACTATACAAGATATGAAAGAATGTTTTACCGATATACCAGGGTGTTATGAAGTGTTATGAATGGAACAGAATACAAGTAAAAATTCTAAATGGAAGTAATAAAGAGCCAGCTTTTTCAGAAATTGCAGATATAGTAACCTAAAAAATCGAAGGAATATGGAAAAAAGCATTAATTCCTTTAGTTTCGCATACTAGGATCATCCAGCTCCTAGATGAAATGCAAAAATATTATTAAATAATTAAAAAGGTTGTCAAACAAAAAAAAAAGTGAATTTTTATTTGATATTTGTTCTTGTAAATGTAAGATATTATGACAACGGAATAGAGAAGTCAAAACTCTCAAAGTGCATGAATTTTTAATTGATCAAAGGCGTGAGAGAAAATTGAGAATCGGTGGTATTGATCACAATCGGACCAGAAATTTACAAAAAAAAGTTAGCTCAGAAATATGCATCAACAATTAACTGCTAGAAGAGTGATACTGACAACACCCAATCTAAAATGCCAGAAAAGGTATTGATTTCATCAATAAACGGTGATTTAGATACAAGTATTTCATTTGCCGAAAAGTTAGAATCAAGAAAAGCCCTTATCTTCTACTTCAGGAACTATGGAAAAGAAAAAGTGCATCAAAAGTTTACCGTTGTTGTAAATTCAAGCCCGTCGTGGAGTGTGTGATAGAGCTGGTGCTGCAATTGCTTCAGCAGTTTTACCGAACTTTCGTTGGATGTCGTGATTGATAAATAAAAACTGCAAAAAGAGAGAAAGAAAACACGTAAAGTTCTTAAGCAAAATGAAATTGATCTAAATTTACCTGATTTATATTTTGATGGACGGAAGGATAAAACACTGAAGATAGTCACAAATGGAATCAAAAAGTACAGGCAAATCGTTATCGAAGAACATTACCTGTCATTGAAGAACTCGGATTGCATTTATTTAGGTCAGAACGGCTAAAAGCATTGAAATGTCGATAAACGCACTTCCCTCAGCTAAAAATATTGGCACAGATGATCTTCTAGCTACTGAATGCAATGGAACAGTAACAAATACGGGTAAATTTCGTGGTGCCATAAGACTAATCGAAAAAAACTTCAGAGGCCCTTGCAATGGAAAATTTGCATGCTTCATTTGAATGAACTGTCTTTGAGGCATTTGTTTTATCACATCGACGGTAAAACATCTGATACATTTTCATACAATGGTCCTATTTGTATGTAGCTGAATACATGTGAAACGAAAGTTTTAATAGAATTTGAGCCAACACCAGGTCAATTACCGACACTAAAGGCTGATGACTTAAGCACAGGCCAAAAATATTTGAATGAAATTACATTAGCAGTAATTACTGGAAGATGTTCAGATGATTTGGCAAAAAAGTCACCTAAAAAAATGTCACGTGCTCGCTGGCTAACTAAAGCTTACATTCCTTACATTTCTACACAGTACATCCACACCATCAAATAATTTATTCATTTGGCTCAATACGTTGTTCGCAATACTTACCAAATGCGTTAAAATTAGTTATTATTATTATTATTCAAAACAGCACGGGCAGAACCCCTTGCCAAACAAAAATATAGAAATTCGAAAATATAAACCATAAATAAATAAAATAGGTAATGTACATAATAAACTTATATATATAAATAATAATACACAAGTCAACACAACAAAATAAAGCAACATAATTAATTAAAGTGTAAAAGATGATAACTATTGAATGTACTATATAGTGTAAAAGGAACAATTATGAATTCAAACGCCAATCAAATATGGAGTCACCAAAAAATGAATCTAATGATTTAAAAATGTTAATGTTATCAGCGTTGACGGCATCAGAAAGAAGCCTGTTCCAGTCGTCTACCACACGGTATGAGAAGCAAAATTTACGACAATCTTTATGGCATGGTCCTGTAGTCAGTTTCCAGTTGTGTCCTCTCGTACGATCGTCGGATGAAAATAGTAGCGTTGGACTAGCCTTGACAGAAGCCTCGCCACGTAACATTCTGAACAGCAAAATAAGATCCGCTCTCCGACGACGGTACGCGAGTGAAGGCAGCTTAAGTTTCTTTAATCTGTCAATATAAGGAAGAGACCTACAGGAATTAACCAAACGTGTTGCTCTTTCTTGGATTTTTTCAATTTCTAAAATTAAACAAATTTTGTAAGGTTTCCATGCTTGAACACCATATTCCAACTGAGACCTCACCAACGACTTATACAACAAGACAAAAGCTTCTTCTGATAAATTCTTGAAGTTTCTAGCAACAATCCCCAACATGGAGTTAGCTTTATGAACAGTTTTCAAGATTTGGCTTTTGAACCTAAGCTTGGCATCAAAGATCACTCCGAGGTCTGATATCTCATCAACCTCTGGCAAACGAAAGGGCAGTCCGTTGCAGTCTACAGTTATAGATTCTGTTATTCATTGGAACGCGCATTTTGCTCAGCCTGAAAACTTGCTGTAGGCGATGTTAACAGATGAAGAAAAGCATATAAGAAAACTAGCAGCCTATAGAATTTTGAAGGGTCGTAGTTTACTTGTAACTGGAAAACTACCACGTGTTTTTCAAACACCTAAACTGATTTTTAATGCTAAATTTTACATTTATCTATAAATTGGCAAGAGGTCAACTTTAATCCACCTATTCTAAGAAATCATACAGACGAAAAACTTGAAACTTTACTTAAAAAGATAATTGAGAAAAAAGGTGAAAAAAGTTTATTGTTTATTAGACTGCCTTGCCATAATCAAGCAGCTGAAAATGTGTTAAAATAGTTACAGAAGCTGCGATGTCAACATGTGACAACAAATCAAGGATTGGTATCATTCTTGCGAAACTTGCTTCCGGAAAACTTAGGCCAAAATTTGACAGCAAGCAGGATTTTTTGTGTAAAAAAAACAATTTGTTTTATTAGGTACTTATGTTTATTTAATTAAGGTTTTGGCTTTTATTGTTACTGTGACCTTAAATAAATATTTGTCTTTTTAGAAAGGTGTTTAGTCAAGTTTTCAATAAATAGCTTATGACATAAAGGAATATGACTCTTTAAAAGGTTTGCAGGGCATGCGGGGCTGAAGATGTGCGTTTCTTTAATTTATTTTGCACTAAAACTTTATGATGCATTACAATAAAATAATGCTATTAAAATTTGATTAGTCGACTTTTATTTTTTTTGCATACAAAGGTGACCCACCCTAATATATATATACATACATTCATCAGGAAAGTACCTACGGCAGGTTCTCATCTCAGATCAGATGATTGTGGTTTGTTGGTGGTGCGTACCGGTTTTCGAAATATTGCTGCAGCTGATCCTACTGGGTGGAACAACCTGCCTGCATCATTAAGAAGACCTCGACATCGTTTAAAAATGAAATCATTTTTATTAAACTGTTTTTGTTTCGTCAAGTTTATTTGAATATGTGGGCACCCGTGAAAATATTCAATGGGTGCTATATATAAATAAGTGATTTTTAATAATATATTAAATTATATTGTAACATTCACACTATGTATCTATATATCTATATATCTATATATCTATCTATCTATCTATCTATCTATCTATCTATCTATCTATCTATCTATCTATCTATCTATCTATCTACCTACCTACCTATCTATCTATCTATCTATCTATCTATCTATTTATCTATCTATCTATCTATCTATCACATCAAATGTCAAACTGGAAGATAATGGTCAGCATTAGCACTAATGATGTCGATAATAACGATGGGCAGCAGCGTCATCATCATCATCAGGACTGGATGAGGAGGGGTGGGACATGAGAGGGCTGGGTCTGTGGTAGAACACTGGCTTCTTGCGGGCACTTCAGCAAATTTTCATTTTATTCATCAGATCAATGTTTATTCTATTCAATATATGCAAGTTATCTCATGCAATATATGCAATATTTTATTTATCACATCAATTTTGCATTTTCATTTAAAATTAATTTAAAAAGTTACAATTATTCAATAGAAGGTTAATTCTTCAATCCCATAATTTGACATAATAAGACATAATTTGGCATGCTTTCGGCTAGTCTGTCCTTTACTGAGGGAAGGAAATATGCCCAGAACGCTATACAAATCTAATAATAATGATGGCCATAGTTATAATAAATACAATAGTTATAACCATTGATGTGAACAGGCAGATGATGAACAACTAAAAAATGTCACCTAACTCACCACTCCCAATAAAAATATTCATTAAAATAATGCCGCAAACTACTTTTCGTCTCATCCACATGAGCACATTTTAGAATATTTGACAGAAATTAAAACGAAAATTTAAAATAAATAATAAAAAAACAAAAAAATAAAATAAAAGAGTAACAAAAATAAAGTAAAAATGACACAAACCAAAATTCCCACACCATGTTGCCATTCATTTACACTTTCTTATTGAAGATGAACTGAAAATGTAATAAAACAAACAAAAAATTACATAATGACAAAATATTATAAGCTGAAATATAACTGAAAAAAGCGAAAAAACATAAAAGTTGATAAAATAATAAAAAGCAACCCAAAACGTAAAATACGATTGAAATTTTTGAAACTAGAATTAGGAAGAGAAACAAAAACGTGTTTATAAATAAATTTAGCTGCAAAGAGAAACATCTAACGGAATACAGAATTAGAAAAAAAAGTGAAAGCAGGATGGCTGAGCACCTGGTGATCCGCCTCTTATCAAGATGGCTCGGTGAGGTTCGCCTTCTTCTGATGGACGGACTGCGAGAATTTGATTTGTGGCGGGGGGATGATGAAGACGTCGATCTCTGTTCATGATTCGTTCTTTCCTTCCGAGTTGATGAGCATTCACTTTTCCTGCATAAATTTTTTATATCAGAGAAAACTCAAAAACAGTTTATAATTTTTGATAAAATGAAATGAGAAAAAATAGAACAGGAATTATAAATATTCAACTGGTCAATTATAAATATTCAACTGGTAGGGCATCAAAAACTCGGCATCCCTTCTTTGATAGCCCATCAGCTGCAGTGCATTATGATGCTGTGCTCAAAATTCACTTGCATGCAGCAGATTGCATTTCTAACGAACAGTAGTTATGTTTGTTTTAATCTATTTCCGTCTACCATTCTAAGACCTTCACATCAATTTATTGAGGCATAGTGCTGTGAAAATTATCAAATAAACTAATTTATAATGTCAAATAATTTCCAACCTAGCACCATTTCTTGATGTACTTCTGGATCTGGATCGTGTTATTGATCTGAATAAATGGTTGACATTACTTTATTAACAGTACATGATCGGAACATTATTTCAGCGGCAATATAGGGAAATTGAACACATTTAACAACATAAAATTTATAAAATACGGCAAATAATTCAAGTGAACAAGACCAAAAAGATGAATTCTTGAACAAATCAAGGAGACCCAGCCAACGAGTTGCTTCAAAATACGTGCCTATACGCTCAGAGAAATGCAAGTGAGTAAAACTTTTTTATCTTATTTTTCAAGAAGAGGGACAAACGAATTTGTAATTAGTAAGAATGATTGGAAACACACAATGTGCTCACTTGTCGACATCAACATGCAATCTGCTATAATTTCATTCACCACAAACACTTTCAGAAGAAGGTTTATGGTATCATTTCTTATAAGGAAGAAATTATGAATTAATAATCGACAGTTTCTAGATTAAATTGTGCTAAGAAAAAAACTGAAAACATTATTTCACCAAAACCACACAATATTGCAGTTGGTAGAGAAGGACTGCAACTAAGTTTTAAAAAGTAGTTACACCTTGCAGCTTCTTTGATTTCATTTGCATTTAATAAAAAAAAATTAAATAAATTTAAATATAAATTTAGGCAGAGAATTAAGTGAAGTATTAACATACTTTCTTCCTTTCTCAAAATTTGTAGAATTTTGCTGCCTTCTGTGTAAAAATGAACATTGATTATTAAATAAAAAAGTTATATATATATATATTTATATGTATATGGTATAATGGTTACGGCACCTGGTCCTGCTTTTGCAGTGACTTGGTTCGAATGCAGTAGATGAACTTCCATCACATGCAATGTGAGTGAAGCGTGGGTTCACATATATTCACAAGCACTGTGTGTGTGTGTGTGTGTGTGTGTGT